CGCCAGACGGCGGCCACCTCTCCGCTGCCCGGCCCAGCCAGCGCCGCGAGGTTCCAACTTTCCAACTTCTGACCCGAAAAGATTGCCCCTTCGGGTAGGAGGAGACGGGGAGCTCTATCGTGTCGTTCGCTTGAAAGCCATCCGTAGAAAAGGCACTCTGGTTCCACATGTCGCCCGGACGTATGCTTTCATGAAGATTGCATTTCTCTGATACTACTCATACATTTCTCGTTTTAAAAATACAAAGTGCTTTTGGGGACATGCTGAAAGGTAACTGAAGGCGGCCAAGAAAAACCTCCGGTTGTCATGGCTGAAGGAGAGCATGAAGTGAGATGGGATGGGCTGTGCAGCAGAGATTCAGCGGCCAGAGAGACAGCCCTGGAAAACATTCGGCAAGTCATTTTGAGAAAAACCGAGTGTCTTCGTTCGGCGAAAGAGACACCTGACCGCCCATCGGACGGGCTTTCAGATGCTGGCTCGTTGGATGGGTTGAATAAGCTTCTTGCTCATCTGCTTATGCTTTCTAAGAGGTGTCCCTTTGAAGATGTCAGAGAGAAAAGCGAGTTTATTTTGAAGAGCATCCAGGTAAGGAAGAAAATGTTACTTGCACTTAAAGTCACTTCGTGTTTACTTTAATAGGTTGTTATGCGAACTCATTATTGAGTTCACTCTACATCTTAAAATTAGGATGTCCTATAAAACATTGGATTGGGGGCCAAAATTGTACAAGATGACCTAAGGAAAAAGTAATTTCCGCATATGAGTAAACAGGTATTGTCTTTCTAGAGAGTTTTAGCAGAAACTACATTCCTCCTGGGAAAATAAGTGAAAATTACAGTTAGTTGCAAGTAAAGACTCGCTTTTCCTTTTATTTACTTTTACGTGTTGTTGGGAAGTGTAGCCAGTATGCTTTTCACGTTGCTACAAACTGTTCTGTGTGGAAAGTTTATCACATTTAAAACTCTCTCAAATGATAAAGGACATTAAATGTTTCTTTGTCAGCTTGTTCAAGATAATTGGTGAAACAACTTTCTCTTGTTCTTAAAAACAAAACAAGAAACCCAGGATCTGTTCTCTAAATGCAACCTTTCTTTTAAGAATTATATAAAATAATATAAAAGCTTATGTTGTTATAAAAGCTGGCATCTTCAGATTTAAAATTTGGACTCAGGTGGAATGTATGGTAGAAACACTTTTTATGGTAAATTACTCAACCAGCTTTCTCTGTGTTTGCTTAAGTTGTTTGTTTCTTTTCATTTTCACATGTGTACTCATTTAAATTGTGAGTGCAACAGGTTAAACATATTATAGTTTTCCTCCTGTTTTGTACATAATCAATTTATTCCATTTTATTGAGGATTTCTTGAACGGGTTCTTTTTTTAGGAGAGGTTGTTCTTAAATATTAAGAATGCTCAATAGCCCTCTATATTTGTCAGTCTAAATTACTCCACATGTGTTGTTCAAAGTCATAGTGTGAGAAGTTTTTAAAATTTATAATTTACTTGTGTATGCATGGAAATTAAGATAAACAGTTTTTCTATTCTGGCTTGAATTTAGTTTAAAGCAATAGAAAAATGAAGACTCTTCACAATCTTGGGATATTTCTTCTTACAATTACTTTGGAAATAATCATTATAACTCCTTTTATCCAGAGTTACCAGAGAGGAATTTTCTAGAAACTTGAAGTTTAGCCTTTTAAGCATCAAAAGTTTTTTTTCTACCTGAGACTGCTTTTTTTTTTGGGTGGGGGGGTCGGTAATGGGGTCATAATTGTGCACATTAGTTACTGTTGCATAGCTAAAGGTGGCTTGTAGAAGACTACATGATTCATGTTTTTGATTTTTGTGTTCAGTTTTGTTGTTTATTGTCAGTATACTTCATTTGGTTTCTTCTTTAACCTTTCATTTTGCTGCTTATTTTGTGTTAAAATGGGAACCCAGATAACCAATTTTGTTAAGAGTTACAGTGAAAACAAGTAATTGGGCTCTGGGGAATACAGGGTCAAAGGACTATAATATAGTAAGTAAATGGGCACTAGAGTCAGATGACAGAGTAGTCTAAGTTATTTATTTATTGTTAAAATATATTTTTATTGATTTCAGGAGAGGAAGGGAGAGGGAGAGAGAAACATCAATGTTTAACCTGAATTCCTTCAGTGCGCAGGCCGTCTGGCTAGCCACTAAGCCAAACCAGCTGGGGCGAATTATTATCTCTTTTATTAATGTACTACATAACTTTGGACAAGTAAGTCACTGGACTTGTTTTAGCTTGGATTTCCACACCTGTAAAGTGGGAATAATAAAATAGAGCTATTGTGATAATTAAATGTGATGTAAAGTACCCCACCACATTGTGGGTGCTTCTCTCCCCTTTCATAAGTGAAATACATAGACTATCTGATATAGCATATTTCAAGACTCATTCATCCTGCAAAACGATTCAAAACTCTCCTCAACTGTGAAGGTTCCCATAAATTTAGATTCTTTTTCTCATCTCTGCATCTATTGCACTTTATTCCTGCCACAGTTTTAACAGGCACTTTACTTATATTGTGTTATAATCATGTTTATGTGTCTCTCTCCCCAGGAGGGCTGTAAGTTCTCAAGAGTATTGGCTGGGACCTGGAAGCTACTAAATAAATATCTAGTAGATGAGCAAACTTACATTTGGCTTCTTTTGTTGCTTATCAGTTTGAATAGATGAAGTTACCACATAGGGAGTTTCCACCCCCACATCATTCAGTCATGCCTTCATTCAACCATTGGTTATGGAACCTCAGGTGAATGCCATCCTAAGAACAGAGAACCAGTGCTCAGCAATTTTGACATTCTACTGAAGGGAGACAGACCATAAAGAAGTAAACAAATAATGTAATTTGAGATAGTAAAGGAAGACTTCCCTGAAGAGATGACATATAATCAGAGATTTGATGAATGAATAAATATTATCCTGGCAAAAATGAGATTTTTGAGGGGGACATAGGGAACAATACGTGTAGATTACTCATGGTAAGAAAGAGCAGATAAGTTCTAAGAATTGAAAGTAATGCAGTGTAGTTGGGGTATACAGTTTGTTGGAAGTGTGAAAGCTTGAGCACACACTTACATAATCTCTCCTTGACTCAGTTTTCTCATCTGCAAAATGAGAATAATGCTAATTATTCTGCTTCACAATGAGAATAAAATGAAATAATTCTTGCAAAGCATAGCAAAGTGCCGAGCACGTAAGAAACGCTCAGTAATGTTAGGAATTCTTACTGCTTTTAGGCAGCCAGATGATAGGATCTTATAAGCCTTGTTAAGATCTGTGGACTTTACCCTAGGAACAGGGAGAAGCCCCTGGGGGCTTTTGAGCAAGATGGTGATATATTCCATTGTATATTAGAAGGATTGCTTTGGAAGCAATGAGGAGAATGGATTTCAGGGGTCAAAGTGGATGTGCAACATCAGTTAGCAGTTTGTCCACTAGCCCAAAGCAAACATGATGGTGGAGTAGGATATAATGGAAAAAGTGAATGGGTTTGGGAGATAACTAGAATATAGTGTTTAATTGGATATAGGAGGTGAGGAAAATAACAAACATTAAGGATGGCTTGAAAGTTTCTGGCTTTACGTGATGAGTAGTTCTATAATTTCCAGAGACAGAGAGTGGGTCAATTTAGGGGGAATAAAGAGTTTTGTTTTAGGCATGTTGAGATTACATTGCCTATGTTGCATCCTATAAAAAAAGCTCACAAAGGGATTTTTGCCCCTGCTATACCACTGTTCTACTTCTGCCATTATCTCTCACTTCTCCAGACTTAACCCATCCTCCACCTTTATATCCACCCTCATGTAACTGCAGAGCCATTTATCTAAAAAGAAAATCTGACCATGTTACTCTCCTGCCTAAAATCCTTTAAAATAGGACAGACTCTAAACTTCCATAAGAATTCAGCGTCATCTGGCCTCCACTTGCCACCCCAGCTCATTGCCCAGCACTCCCAGCCTCACTGTTCACACCCTAACACCAGCCTCACAGGGAAACCAAATAACTCAAATGTAGTACTCCAGAATACTTTTTGTTACTCATTAGTAACAAAGCAGCAGAAGCTGAACTGCATTTGCAATTCCTGCAGGTCAGCTCAGAGGACCATAGTAAGGAAGAGAGAGATGGTAGGGCATGGCATCTCTGTTTGTATTCCTGTTGTAATTTATTGATTTCATGTCAACATACTTAAATTTATTTAGCACATTTTAAAAATATTTTTAAAAAAATATATTTTATTGATTTTTTTACAGAGAGGAAGGTAGAGGGAGAGAGAGTTAGAAACATCTATGAGAGAGAAACATCGACCAGCTGCCTCCTGCACACCCCCTACTGAGGATGTGCACGCAACCAAGCAAGGTACATGCCCTTGACTGAAATCAAACCTGAGACCTTTCAGTCTGCAGGCCGAAGCTCTATCCACTGAGCCAAACGGGTTAGGGCTATTTAGCACTTTTTGAGCACTATTCTGTGCCAAGCTCTGACCCAGGACTGGGGAGGTCAGTAAGATTTGTTCTCCACTTTTGAGGAAGGTCATCTATTCTCATAGGGGGCTTTATTTTTTAAAAATTTAACCCCATAATACCTTTTTGATATGCTTGATTTCCCTAAACAAAGGCACAAAAGTAATCCACTGGTAAACTATAGTCTTTGTGATGCATTGCAATTAGAGGGGAAATGTGGACGTATATACATACATCCCAAGATTATGAGTAGTCAAAATAGCCAAGTACATTTTCAAGAATGGTCATTTGATTATTTTCATTTTCTTCTGAAAATGTCTGAAAGTAATTTGACTTATGATAGAAAGTTTAGATCAAGTAACATGGTATTTATCTGTAAGTGGGATGGAGGAGGCATTCAATGATTGTTACACCCCAGTGAGAAATGAAACTTAAGCTGTTGGGTATGGTGCACATTTACAGTTGTTAGAGTTCCAGATGGAGTGCTCCTCTCCACGCCTGGCTTACAGGATGAATCATATCTGCACTATCTATCCTCAGTGTGTTCTTTATAACATATTAATACATCCTGTCCTCTTCCTTTGTTCTGACTTTTCAGAAAGATTGAAACTAACAAGGATACTCCTTTTTTTTTAAGTTTTCAGCTTTTAAAATATTTTATTCCTTTTACAGTGTCCCAAATGGTCTCTAGCATAAGGAAAAAAAACCCCAGAATGATTCATTTTTTATTTTACTTTTTAAAATATATTTTCATTGATTTTGGAGAGGAAGGGAGAGGGAGAGAGAGATAGAAACATCAATAATGAAAAAGAATCATCTATCAGCTACCTCCTGCACGCCCCCCACTATGGATCGAGCCCACAACCCAGGCATGTACCCTTGACTGGAATCGAACCCGGGATCCTTCAGTCCACAAGCCGAAACTCTATCCATCAAGCCAAACCAGCCAGGGGCTGATTAATTTCTTAAAATATATTTTTATTGATTTCAGAGAGGAAGGCAAGATGGATGGATAGATAGATAGATGGAGAGAGGGACAGAGAGAGGGAGAGAGATATCAATGAGAGAGATCCCCTCCCGCATGCTCCCCTACT